TTTAAACTGCTTAGAGAGAGCTGTAAAGCATTTATATAAGTATAAGGGGTATTGCTAGTGCTATACAGCAGGATGGTGTGAATTTTAACACAATGTCAGTTGAAGTTCTTCCCTTCCCCATTCCCCATTGTTCTGTGTTAATCAACTTTAATATTTCTGTATTTTCTTTGCCCTCTGTCACATATTTGACTTACATTAGCACTGAGAGAAACTTCAAGCAGTATGTATAAAGACTGCCTAAAAACCCATCATGGAACCCCCTTTGTAATAGATATTACTTTTGTTCTAAGCAGCTTCACAATCAACTTCAGTTTCAAAACTGCAAGCATTTCTGCTTAGAGATGCAAGAATCCTAGAATGGTGCTTAACCACCAGAAATGGGATCTTTTAATATCATGGCAGAGAATTTCAGATATATTCCTGAGGTGGACCTCAAATAAATGGAAAGGCTAAGCTGCAAAGATGGGGAATAAGTTGAGAAGACATTGCATTCTTATCTAACTGGTGTTTCTCTGCCTGTATATGTGTACATACATCCTTCTGTTTTTTTAAATTCAGCTTGGAAGGTCCATATAAAATGCTTCAATTCCTAATGGTCCTAACATTATTCAGGCATAATTGAATGGAATCTTTATAGCTGGGATTTTGTCCGCTTTTTAAATCTACTTCCAAATAAACCTCATTTTTAGTTTTATTACTCTGAGATCCAATGAGATAACGAAGCCTCCAGCCCTTCTGAATGGTTGCCAAGGAGAATGCAGTCACTGTCTGACCTGAAAACCTGTCTTGAGTTCATCTGTGTTCTTGTGGCAGTTTATGTTTTATGTCTGTGCATGTGGCATCTATAGCGACATATACTATAGATTTGCTTGTTATGGCCACTTGTTACGGCCATGAATATCCACATCGCCGCTCCTATGGAGAAATTATTATTCCCTTTTCTTTGATTTTTCTGGACAATTGAATCCTGATCTTGGTCTCGGTTGTATATGATTTCTCCATAAACTTTAGTTGCATGAGCTCTTTTTCGATGTTGCTACCCCAAGCTAATCTTACACTGTTTCCTCCATCCATCAGTTCATCCATTAATCTTCCATTCTCAATAGTTCTTTCTGGATCCTGCTTCTGGTTGCCTTGCTTTGTTTCGGTTTTAATCTGCAGTTCCTTCTGTTGCTCTTCGCCATGATTTGAAGAAAAAAAAGCTGAAATCTGGTGTTGGCATGGTAGCTTAAAGGAAGGGTCTAACTTGGGCCTAATGCAACCCTTTGATTCTTCTTGCATCTTGAGAAGCTGATTACTCTATGGCCATTCTCTCTATCTGGATCTTTTCAGGTGTTGTTACTGCCCTGGATTGCAACTGTTCATCTGCAGGCCCGATCAATTTAGAAGGCTCGACATATCTCGTTCCAACTTCTGAGTCTTTCCCTTCCATTGCAGAGCAGCTGGACAGCAGGAAGACAGCTGTCAGCATTCTCCAGCTACTAGGGCTTCCTGATACTACTCAAATTCATAGTGGCTTAGAGAGCAATATCAGGTCTAGGGTGACTAGAAGCACTGATAAAAGCCAAGAAATCACTGAAAGCATGGATTTCGGGGCTGGCATTGATGACTTATTACCATCACCATCATCACCTTCTCTTTCTATCCAGAAACGGTTGGAATCCATGGAGACCAGCTCTCCCTCCCTGGATTCCACAACTGGTGAAAGCCAGAAAAAATCTGATGAGTTAGCTTCTCAGCATCTCCCTCTCTCTGACTTAGCCAAGTCCTTTCTCAATCAGCAATGGTTTGAGATAAAAGAAAAAACTGAGGCCATTCCAGGACTCACATCTGAACAGGATATCACTGTTGCCAGCAGTGCTTTCAGCTTAACTCTGACATCGTCTTCCAATTTGGAGCAAATAGACAGCTCTAGTGCGCCCTCCAGTGGCAGTCGCCAGGTCCTGGGCCACAAAGATCCTGTCTCTGCAACACAAGATCCTTCTAGATTTGTGGCGGCCACAGAGAATTCCTCACCCCCCAAACAAATATCCCATGAAAGCGACTCTTGGGGAAAGCAAAGTAGCAGAGATAAAAACTACAAAGCACTGCAAAACACCCAGCCGCGGGCAAGACGAGAAGAGGGTCTGGCCAACAAGGACAGGGAATTGGAGGATAGCCTGCTGGGACCCAGCTTTGATCTGAACTTCATTCCTTCGAACGCAGAGAAGCGCATCGAGAAGTCAGAGCCCAGAAATATCCAAGGGACGTCTGCAACATATGTGGTGATACCCAGTGTCCTGGGAATCCTCCTAGCCTTGGGAGGCCTGCTGTTCTACTTACATAAATCCAGGGTAAGGTTGAGTCCTGCCTTAACAAATGTACACCTGCATTCCTTTCCTCTTTCTCTCTCGGTGGCAAATTTGAGGCATAGAGTTTCCTGCGGATGGTAACGTAGAACTGTCATTTAGAGAGAAGTGTAGCTTCTTGCCAAAGTGCAAACTTTGCAGGTTCAATACCTGCCATCCTCAAGATAGGTCTGGAAAACCAAGAGTGCTATGCATGAGCGACAATGTTAGACGCGAAATAGTTCTTGTGTCCCTGAGCAAAAACACTTTCCTTGCGTTTCTGTTAAGTATTTCCTGCAACTCATCTTACATTTTGTTTGCTGTTGTAAAATACCTTCCTTCTCCTTTTGTTTTCATTTGGATGCCACAAAAAAAAAAAAAAGCTAGGTTTGTGGGGTACATCTCATCTCATGCATGCTTGCAGTGGTAACTCTGTCTTGGATTGCCTGGGCTAACTTAAATCCTAGTGCTTCCTACACCACAAGATGCAAGCATTGCTTAAGACGGACTACTTCCCATGCTTCCCAGCCCCACAACTCGACTTCTTAAAACTACTTGGCTGTAAAAGTGTAGTGCTTAGAACTGATGTCAGTGATGAGTGGGAAGCACATCTTGTTGATTCATCTTTTGATTCCTAGAATCGGGATAGGATTGGAAAACTTTCCTAAGTAGCTTGAAAGTAGCTATGGAGTTGGAAAAATATATATGTAAACACAATAAATATCTTTCCAGGTTGAATAAGATAAGATGTAGTTGCATGCTAGAGACAATGTCGACCTGTACTGGGATTAAACGTGTTGCATGTATCATTGCTTCGTACATTATTTAGAAGAACTGCTTCATAGGAAGGAAGAGGAAACAAGTTATCTCTTGATTTATAGGGCTTGCACAGTGTCTTCCATGGCTGAAATCTGTTCATGCTTTTTTCACAGTTTATATATATATATATTTTTAAAGGGATACATTCAAGGAATGGTTTTGACTATACAAGAACAGTCATAGCTATCTTTTTCTTAATGCTGTAATTTATCACTGTGCAATAAGAAATGGAGTAATGTTGAGAAGCCTGGAGGTGATGAGGATAGAATCTAATGTTGGGCTCAAATTAAAGTTGATTTAAAAGTTGGTCGGTGACTAATATTATGGAGGCTGTCCATATGCAAAGACAGCTGTTATGTTTGTTGGTAGAAGTGTTTTCTTGGAGTAGTTTTCCTCTTAGGATAGCCCCAGCTTTTAGTTGGAAATCCAGTACCAATTATACCAGCAATTCAATCCACTCATGGTTGGTTGAAATCAGGGTTCTCTGTTTCACTGTTCAATTCTTACTTTATTTCATACAGATCGTAAGAACGAGGTGGACACAGCAGAGGGGGAATAATGTAGAAAGAACAGAAGAACAAAGGTAAGAAACTAGAAGATCATGAAGCCTGCCTGTATAACCAGATTTTCATCTGTTAGCCTCTTTCTATTTTAGATGAATCATTCCTGACTTATAGATCTTCTCTTTCTCACTACATATTTCAGATTCCTATGAATTGCCCCTCAGGGTCTTGAATGGGATTGAATGGTCTCCTATGGGATAGAAACTGTTGGGCTACTGTGTGAATGTGCCAATGTGATGATTTCCAACTAGGTTGTGCTACAAATTGAGGGCACCGGGTCATCGAAAGTTGTACATAATATTGACTCATGAATCATCAGTTCTTCCTCTTTGTCTTTTAAGATTCCTGTTCCTTTTTTTGTAGGTCATTGAGTGGAGGGGAGGGACACTTGGAGTTGCAGATTCAAAGGGAAGTATGAGGTAGGTTATCTTTTTAATTTTCTCAGTGGAAAATAAGGTCTTTGGAGGAGTTTATATTGTCTGTCGTACAGCTGTTACACCCATACACGTGCAAGAATTGGATGGGCAGTTTTGCATGCAGTCTGCTATGAATACTAAATGCCAGAGCCAGAAAGGAGAATACCGCTGTCTTGTCCAGAATTTTAGATATATTTTGGTGCCTTGTTGGAAACCAGATGCTGGATTAATCAAGCCTTAGCAGGTGTCCAAGGGTCATGTATTATTCTTCATGATGCCGATGGACACATGCAACCTGCTACCTCCTTTCTACGTAGGTACAGGTTTCCTGTAACTATAAGTAGGTGCTATGGAATGTAGCTCTGTCCTTAGGGTTAGCAGCAGCAGGCAGGCATCAATTTACAATCCATTCTTAGTCTGGAAAAAAAACCTGCATTCTTATGTGACTGTGTTTTCTGTGAAGTCAAAGGTCATGCATGAAAACTGAAGTTGGATCTTTGCATGTGCCTTAGCAAAAGATAAGTGATTTGTAATAAAATAATGGCATGTACATTACCTATTAATGCATTGACACTATGAATTAAACAGTGATGGCTCTTCGTATCTTCTTATTTCCAGTTGCACCATTCCCTCTGAAATGAGAAACTGCCTGGGGTTTTGGACTGAAAGCCCCACTTTCAAAGTACAGTTCTGTTACTATTATTGGGAGAAATTGCACAAAGGAAACTCTGGAACTGAAGCCACGGCAGTACTTTTCCATGAAGACTGTTTTTATATTTTTTTAATATATATATATAATGGGAAGGAATTTATCAGGAAAATGGATGCTATTTATTTCCGGTAGCCAAGATTGGTATTCATTATACAAGTTGCCTTTTTTTGCCAACAAACTGGAGCTTGAGAAAAGGAAGATAGTCACTTGGACTGTGCAAAATCCCATGTGTGATGGGGATGGTCTACTAAGAACTCCTATGCCTATTCCATTCTGACAGGGAACAGATGGCATCCTCTTCAGATCTATTAGATTGTGGATTCTGCAGATTGAACAGCCATGCTAAAGAACCTGAATGGTAATTGACTGTTACTTCTTTTAGAGCTTCTGGCCTCGTGAACTGCTGAAGACTTCAGGACCTCAGCCTCATGCCAGGCATTCAATTTTTTAGGAACTTTGTCCATCTCTTAAGCTTTGTAGGTTGTAAAGCGCAATTCTTTATGTAACACCGTCCAGTTAACACTCTGTGCATAATATAACACACGCTGTTCAGTGAAAGTTGCTATCTACTTTTCCAGGAGCTTAGTTTTATTCCCAGGATCCATTTTTTTAACCCTTCATACAAAATGAGAGTTTGTAGCCTTAAATTTTAACTTATAATAAAATGGATTTTACTTAGTTTTTAGGACAAGCCAATAAATAAGTACCTTCCCATACTACACAAGATAACGTGCTGGGTACTGGTTAGGAAGGTTTTAAAACAGAGCTGTGGTTTTTCCTTTATGCATTAATCTGTTTTAATCAGTGATAAACTAAGGCTCCCTTTTCAGAGACAAGTGTGCTTCTGAATGCCAATAGCTGGGTAGGCGTAAAGCATATGAAGGAGCATTGTCATGGCTGGCTTGTGGGGTTTCCTAACAACCTTCCATTTAGCAGCTATAGAATGAAGCAACTGGCCTTTCGTAAGCAGAATTTAGCCATGGAGTATTTATCTTTTTGAGCCTTATATTTTATCAGTGGTACAAGTCACCAGCTGATGTACTCATGGAATGGGACTCAAGTTGTATTGAGAATTAGCCTTATTTCCTTTGTTTCCCCTGACATTCTAGGAAGTATTACTGAGGCACTGTTAACTGATAAGAGATGCCCAGGAACCATTTTTCCCCTAAAATGGTTCCAAGTTCAAGTGGAACCATGTTTGAAAGGTAGCTGTGCTGAATTGCTGCTTAGATTTTCTGTCTTCTTCTAGACTTCATCAACACCACCACAATGAAATTCTGCAGCAGAACAAACATGCCGGCATGCGAAATTCCGAGTTTGGGCATGTTCCTACCATAGAATGGCTGAAATCCTGTGCCTTTGGGGCATCTGTATTTGTATTTTTCCATCAGGTCAAGGTGTCCCTTCCTCAAAATACTTTCAACTTTTTACTTCAGTAGATCTGTGTTCCTGTAGTATTTTACCCAGCAGATGTAAAGTAAGAAAATGCTTGCATGGAAGGCACGGAGTAAGATTGACCCCCTTCTTTGCTTGCTGATTCTTTCCTGCGGGTATGTTGCCTGGCTGTGTCCTTCAGTATTAGAACTTGGCTGCAGAAACAAACTCGGATTTGTTGTAAATGTAGCCCTAGTCAATAAAAGAGGCAGCATGGTTTCCTATCCATTGTTTGTACCTGCAAAGGCTAGGCATTTTCTTTAGCAGAGGTTGAGAGCTCTGTGTTTGTCTTGAAATAAGTAGTTCAGCCTCCTAAGCTTTTGACCCAGAATCTCATAGATAAGGATTTGTCCAGGATGTAAACCCCTTCATTCTTTTTTCCATGTTGTAGTGGAGAGTTGAGCTATCACAAGCAAATGGGAGCTGCATATTTACGGCCATATTTTGAAGTGAAGCAAAGCTGTTGCACTTTCTATGCTTAAAGAGGTTTTTGTTTTTTGTTGTTGTTTTTGAGAACATTCCAGCTCTTCAAGGTTTAGTCATTATGGCCTCTTCCTTCATTTCAACCCATGTGCTTCTTTTTTTTTTTTCTTCTGTAGCTGACATTGTGCCCTTCCCTATATCAGCAAGGTAGGTGATGGTTCTGAGCTGGTCTCTGGGAATGCTGCTGCCTTTGCTGCTTGGAAGTTAATGAACCAGATCAATGTTGATAGCTGTTTGTTTGTTTGTTTTTTAGAGGAGGATGTGGATGTAACAAATCAGGCTCTGTGAGGAATGATTGCTAAACAATGCATTGTAAGTTGCTTTATTGACGTGAGCAGGCCTCAGTTTCCTTTTTAATTTAATTGCAGTAGGACTTAACAGAGGTTTTGAGGTGTAAGCATTAGCAGGGGCTTTGTATAGGTCATTGAGCCATAGCACAGGATCAGCTCTGGCTTGCTTCCAAGGAAGATCAGTGTGTGTGTCCCCTCCTCTCTCTCACCTTTGGGCCAGGTTTATCATTGTGCTTGGATGCAGCAATTGAATTGCTCGTCTTAAACGCTTGCTGGCACAGTAAATGGTTAGTATTAAAGTCAGATCCTAAGAACCACATTCCCGTGTCTTTTTTAAAGTTGCTTTTTAAGAGAGTTGCAATTCTGGTTCAAACTGTGTTCTTTTTAATATATATATATATATATATATTACAAACAAATATTTTATATAATTTTTTAATGTCAAATGTTTATTTAAAAATAGAAAATGATGTATTTAATAAACACTTTTAAAAGCTTTCTATGTTTTTTGTTAAAAATCTGAATGATGTTAATGATGTTTAAGATAGGACTACATTTATCCAAATTATGCCTGCTGAGGATTTTGCGATGATTTACAGGTGATTCCTAGCCATTTAGAATTGAGATTTCTAATGGACATAAAAGCAGACTTCTGAGTCTAAAAACAAAAACAAACTGATCAGTGGAACGTGAGATTAAAGCAAAACAAATTTCTCTCAGCTCTAATGTTAACTGACCCCACAGCATACCGTACTCATTTCTTCCTCTACAGTGTAGATAACCTTTTACACATTATTATTTATTTAGCATACGATGAGAACATGACAGAACAGAAGTAAACATATATATAAACACTCCACATAATTATAAGTAAAATTTCTATGGGGGTGTAATAGTGGCCTCATAATTGGATGTCCAATTCAACTATCAGGCAATTGGCAAGCCTATTATTTGCCCAGCAGTATTCCTGCCATTTCCTGCTGTTCTTACTGTGTTTGGGTCAATCTCTAATCCAGCCATCTTCTTATTCCCTGTCATCTCAGTTCCTCAGCTACTTCTTGTAGAGGTAACTGGTAATATCTAGGGCAGGTGTCTTCAAACTTGGCAAGTTTAAGGCTTGTGGACTTCAACTCCCAGAATTCCTGAGCTAACATGACTGGAGGAGGAATTCTGGGAGTTGAAGTCCACAAGCCTTAAACTTGCCAAGTTTGAAGACCCTTGATCTAGGGCAATGCATCTTGTGAAGTTATGAGGGATGGGTTTGAGCCGGTTAGTTCCTAAGAATGGGAACAGTGGAGTTCTTGGTGCTCTCTCAGCTTGGTTGAACTAGGCGAAGTAGATTACACTGTCAGATAGTCAAATGTCTGCAAACAAACAATCAAGCTCAGAGGGCGCCAAGAACTCCAAGCTATATCGAACTACAATATTTTCCTCTATTGGATCAATCTCGGGATCAACACACACAAAATATAACATACGGTGAATCATTGTGAACCTTTTATTCTTGGTAAAAATAAAAGGATTTCAACAAATAACAGGTGGACCTACAGTTCTGTCCTCCCTTTTATCTTGTTTCAAAGGAAACAAAGTTGTGATCCAATGTGTACAATTATAGACTTGTCTGCTGGCAATAGTACTGCTAGTGCTATAAGAACCATGTGTGCATCATAACAGTAACTGCATTCCCCCCAAAAAATGAATCAAGAGCTTCATTTAAACTTAGTAGACAGCTGATATTAGGAGTGCTTGATTATTTTTCTTGTGTCTTTTGGTTCCTTCTCTCTATGTATCTGCGCAAAGAAGAAAATATTTGATCTTCTTTTTCCTCTGGTTAAGTCTGCAGGATAGATAGATCGCACACTGGCATACTGTTTGCATAGCAATTCCTTGCGCGAATTCCTCTTCAGTGGTCTTGAATCATCCTGGAACCAGCACCTTTTCTACGGTCCAAGATGACTTAATTCCACCTTCGCTTGCTAGGCATTTTTATTTTTTTCAGCTCCCACTTGCCAACTTCTTAGGCCATTTCATCTCTCTCTTCCCCCACCCGCCCCGTGAAAAATGTTTTTTGTACAAACTTTTTATTCTTTTTCTTCAGATACCAGCCACAAACACAATGTGTTTGATCAGGGTCAAACTCACGGCATCACAGCAGCATCACGTGACGCATCACAACTTTTTCCCCCTTCACTAAACCAGGGGTGGGTGTGGCCAGCGCATGTTGCATCTGACCCACAGGCAGCTAGTTTGACAGCCCTGTTTATCTCCTTTGTTCTATCACACGCAGGCCCTTGGTGAGATTAGTTCTGTACTTATAGGCTGCATCACTGCCCTTCCGATTGGGTGACATGTTCATGTTTTTATCAACTTACTTGATAAGATTGACAGATTCTATGTGTGGTCTGCCATTTTTTTTAAAAAAAAATCTAATCAATTGCTCAGAAAGAGCTGCAACAGGAAAGAGATACTATCTCAGCCTTGTACATATTTACTTGGGGAGAAATGTCAACACACTTAAGATGATAATCTTTGCTTAAGATACTATATTGTCCTACTCATAGAAGGAATTTGTTTACTATTTGGTGCAGCGGCTCAGAGCACTGTTCTTAATCAGTGGAGGATACATTTTTAGACCCTAAGAGACTAGCATATACAAGTGGGATATTTAATATTGAGACGTACCATAAGGAAGGTGCGGTCCACTAAATGTTGCTGATTACAAATATTAGCAACTGTCTTGGCTTGGACTTTTGGAACCTATATTTTGACAGCACTAGAACAGGGCTCTCCAACCTTGTTGCTGGCTGAGGAATTCTGGAAGTTGAAGTCCACAAGTCTTAAAATGGCCAAGGTTGGAGACCCCTGCACTAGAAGATGCACAGCTGCTTCTGCCATAAAAAATAAACCTATAGTAGAATTCAACGTGACGCAGGTGAAGTCAATTTGATGCAGGCCACAAATTTGTGATGCTGAGAAGCCTTTGGGGATTTGGGCAGAATAGGAACAACATAAATCTGCTTAGATTTTTTTTTTTTTGAAAATCCTCAAACTACGGAAATGTGCAGAATATCTTAAACATTTCTTTTAAAAAATCAAACAGATAAAAGCGGGTTTTCTCAGACAGCAGTTCTGTACAAAGGAAATGAAATCAAATAAATGAATGAATGAATGAATGAATGAATGAATGAATGGGAAAGGAATGTTCTTCTGGTATTTCTCTTCATTGGTAAGCATCAGTGATTCACATCGTCTGCAGTGTAAAGAAATGATTCTCGCA